CACACACACACACACACACACACACACACACACACACACACACACACTCAAACAAGTAAAATGATGTCACAAGAAACACCCTTCCGTCGTTGCCAGGGTTACTGAGAGCAGGACGGTGGGTGTCGGGTACCATGGAAACAAACTAACTATGGGAATCCAACTCACCAACCAAAAGCAATGTTTACTTTTGGGGTTAACCGTGTGTGTGCATGAGCCCGTGTATACATGTGTGTGAACTCTGATCCCTTGGGAAAGAGTTTAATGCCGGAGCCCGTCTGACTCTGTGTGAGCTCACCTGAGGGAGCATTTAAAAAAGAGATGCAAAGCAGAAGTGCCAAAAATCTCTTGGAAAAGCCTTTGAAAATGCCAAAAAGAGATTTCATGGATGTCAGTAGGCCTGTGAGAGATGGGCCTTGACACGACTCAGCCCTGGCTGGGCCGTGATGGAGGATATATGGCCACAGTTGCACGGCTCTGACTGGTGGAACACTTAAGGTTTTATGACCTACTGCCATTTGAGGCTCAGGGACAGAGCAGAGTGCCGACCACATAACTAATTAGGCCTGGCCAACGGGGGTGTGCATGGATGGGGATTTGTGGATTGTGGGTTGAGGATGTGGTGTGTCTGCATGGGTGAGCCAGTGAGTGCGTGGCATGGGTTGTTGTGTGCGAGAGTGTGTGTGTGTGTGTCCTGAACCTGAAGCATTGCGTCAGGGAGCCGTTTGTTCTCCATAAAGACTTCAGGGGTTCTTTCATGTATGAGCCGCCGGGCCTGGAAACTTTGACACAGGAGATAGACTCACACACAGCCAATCTACACACATTAACGCTCACACACATCAGAGACCACTCCTTGAGAGGCAGACAGAGGTGAATGAAAAGATAGTCTGGGCAGCTTAACAAAAACAACACTCCTCCTATTGTCCCATATCTCTCGCCCTCCCTCTTCTTCTTCTCTCCAGTGGAGGACCATGAAGATAAGGGGGGGTGTCAGGAGTGGAATGTGTGTGAACTGCACACCGCCTCCTATAAATCAGGGAGACAAGTAGGAGGAAGAGAGAAAGCAGGATAGGGGAAGAGGGGGGTCAGAGGGAGTGATAGGAGGAATGACAAGATAAATGAGTGGTGATGGAGGGAGGGGGTACAGGTGCACACGGGCTGGGGATGAATTTGGGCAAAAGAGTGATAAAGACAGAGAAGGGGGGGGGGTTCATGGGAGGACAAATGACAATTAACCATTTAAAGTCCACTTGAACTTTTCAGACCTTTTTTCAGTCCTTAAATCTCTACAGTTGAAAGTTGAGGTCATTCAGAGCCTTCTGGGAGCGACATGTAATGACTTTGTGGTCACATGTACATTGGAATGTCCAAAAAAAAAGTTTTGAAAGCTGTTAAACATCTTCTGCTGAAGTCTAAAATCTTGGCAACATGAGCTTTTATTTATTTGGTGTATGTGGAAGTTCATTAAGAGCTCAAATGTTATTTCAGCACCACTTTATGAAGTATTTATAGTTTGTAACGATGCCTTTATAAATGGTGAATAAGTCATTTACTATTAAAGATTGGCGATACGGCATAGGAACAACTTTTGGGTTGCAAAGTGGTAAAAATACTTTGGTAATAATGCAGATGTAAATATTGGCAATCTATTAAAAGGGAGCGACATGCTTTCTTGATTATGAGTTAGATGAGACGTTTGATACCACTCATGTTTTAACCATAAAAATATAAACAGTTTCTTGGCTGTGATGAGTTTGTAGGCCAGCAGAGACTCCAGGAAGTTAGTCCAGTAGACAACAGCACTTATAATGTGTCAATTAGCTAGCTTTAGAGGTGCTAGTAGGCATATTTATTAAACATTGGACAGAGCCAAGTTGCTGTTTCTGGTCTTTATGCTGAGCTAAGCAGCTGCAGCTTCACATTTACTGTACAGACATGTGATATCTTCACATCCAACACTTAATCTAATTAAATAAATACTTGTGGGTTTCTCAACTTACTATAAGCTCTTAAGTCTGCAGTTATGTCAAGTCATTATTTAAGGTTTTAAATTGTAAGGCACATATGTACACGATCAGGTGTGAAAGATGAAGATGAGCCATGTTAATTGCAGCTCCTTATCTGTCCTCCTTAGGAGGCTCCCGATAAGCTCCCCAACTCTTAGCACCTTACATCTAATGAGACTCCCCACTGAAGGCTCCGTGTGTGTGTGTGTGTGTGTGTGTGGGGGGGCAAAGAAAACACTAAGATCTTTAGACCGTCTCTCAGCACTTTATCACCTGACACCAACTGGCCAGCACGAAAGAGTTTGTTATATGCCACGAAAAACAGGAAATATTTGTATTAATAATCATCGTCAGGGATAATTTCTTCTAACAAATGCCACAATGTTGTAGATTTATAAAGTGGAGATGTTTGCAGACCTACTTTGTCTTCAGTTATTTTGAATAAACAATCAAGAATCATGGGCATTTAAAAAGATTCTGAATGAAAAATGGAAGCAGGGTCAACTTTTAAAAAATATAGAGCGCTTTAATTGGGATAAGAACTGAATATTTAATGTCCACTTCTGTTGGTTTTCATTCAAAGACAGACAACCCGCCTTCATGTCAAAACAGTCAATGCAACACTGAAGGAAGACAGCACAAATAAGTTCCGACTAATTCCTTCCATGATTTACTTGGGAGTGAAAAACATCCCCCTTCCATTGCAGCTAATAGTCAAGACAACCTTTTCAAAAAGGCACCCGAGAAAAGAGAAGTTTCTTAACCTGAGCTCATTGTCCAGCCTTCCTTCTTCGGTATACAAGCAGGAGAAAATGCACGTGGATACAGAGCAGTAACATCAACTTAAGCATTTCCCATTTGCCTCTAAACTCAATGCTAAACCCTGGCCTACTTACTCTCAGCACATTGTTTAACATACGAGGTTGACCAGGTTTCTCTCCTGTGTTTTAGTGTCTTTGAAGAAGTTTTGCTCCCCCCACAGGCTGTGTGAGAGAGTTGCAATACAACGAGGGCCGATCTGTTGAGTCTGCTTCCATCCCTTCATGTGCTTTCCCCACCAGCTACAACATGAGACCGTAAAAAGGCTTCTTCTGCAAGCCTGACCCTCCGATCAAATGATTTCAGAGGAGCTCAGAAGAACCCACCAGAAATCCGGCTTGCTAAAAAAAAAAAAAAAAGGTGTGTAATTGTTAAGGCACGTCTGTATATTCCTCCAGAGCCATTGTTGTCATTACTGTTGTATCACCTTTGAATCTCACACACAACTGAACCAATTTCCAAACAGAATATATATTTTAGCTGCTAAATGTCACTTTTCCTCTTCTTCTTGGACTTTGGGGGTTCGGGAACTTCACTAACACTAGATGTAACATCTGAACCAGTATCGTGTCTCCTCTTTTTGCTTGGTTTGTCACTGAGGTAACCGCTGGAGTCACTGCCATGGACCTCCACGGTAGAGAGCTCAACCACCACCTCCTCTTCTTTCACATGTTTCTTCTTCTTCTTCTTTTTCTCAACAGCTTCATTGCCATTTTCTTCAATGATTGTTCCGTTCAGCTCTGGCTTTGTGCTGCCATCCACTCGGCAGGAAGGTGTAATTGTCACCTCCTCCCCTCTGACTTTGTCTCTCTTCTTTTTTTTCTTCTTCTTGGGGGTGTCTTCAGGAGACTCCTTGGTGGGTTCTGGGTTCGGTTCTGCCTCTAGTGGTTCTGGCTGGTCTGCAGCGACGCCCGACTCCGAGCTCTCACCCAAAGCCAGCAGCTCTTGCACCCTGAAACACACACAGACAAAACACAGTAATCAATCAAGGGTTCAACCACACCTTTGAAAATATTATGTAACCAGTTCATACAGCAAAAAATGGTGAGACGAAGAAAAGTGTCAATCACAAAGTCAATGTTAGATTTCTAAAGAACATAAAAAATACTTGACAATATTATTGAGTCAAACAAGGTTTAGTAGTTATTATTCATAATTAATATTATGACGAACGGCTTCGCATACACTGCTTGTTAATTGTAAGCTCCATTTGGACACGCTAACGTTCTGTAGCTGAGTTAATCAGCAACAGTTTATCACAAACATGTAGTCAACTAGTTCCTGCATCAAGTGGAGGTGTGTCTGATCTGCCCAGCAGTTGTATTTGAATCACGTGGCTGCCATACTTTTAAAATTAAAACGCTGACGAGTTGCAGCTTTGTAACAAAAGAGAAGCCAGATTAGTTTTGTTCCCCGTCCCACCACCACCACCATCCACACTTACCTGGTCCTGTCCAGCCTCCCTCTGATCAGCAGCACCCCCGCAGTGTCAGCGTCAAGAGCAGTCACCTCGAACTCAATCTCTGCTCCGATTCTCGGCCCCGCGTCCCGCCAGGTCTCCACAGACACCAGGTTGGGTTTGGGGATGCTGGCGTTGAAGCAGCCGTGCACCAGGCAGCCCACATGGCTCACTCCTAGTTTATTCACTTCACCCTGGGAATAGAAACACAGAAAAAATATTTAACTACATGCATAAAAGTGGACCACAGATAAACAATCTTCTTAGGTCACTTTCACCAGCCATAGTCCGTTTGGCTAGTCTAGTTTGGAGGGAAATTGATGCTTTTGGTTAGTTTTCTCTTTAGTCTGGTTTGGTTAATAAATTAAAGCACGCTAAACAATAAAATGAATTTGCTGAAGGGTGTGTACGAAGGAGCAGGGCTAAAGTTTTTGCACTTTGACTTGGCACGGCTCTACCGTGCACATGAATCCCTTCTCCAGTTTTATCTCAAATTACTTTATAAATATTACTATTTTTGTGGACTTTATTTAGCATATTCTGTACGTGCTTTTTGGGCCACATCTCAAGCAAAAAGTCAGTTCTCTCGTGTTAACGTGTTGTTTACCTGTGTCCATCTCAACAAATGCCTGTGCGGGCCACCTGTGTTTTGGTTCACTTGCTGCAATTGGCTCATATTATATTCTCGCTGCAATCGAGCCACACTGGGGTTCTCTTAGAAACAGTTTGAGACCACGTCTTGTAAGCGGCCTCGGACTAGTTGTTTTGGTTCGCACCAGAGTACGATTATTGATTGTAAGATATTTTCTTTAAGCCTTGATCCTAGAGAGCAACACAACAAGACCAAGACACATGTCAACACTACGAATGGCTGTAAGCCACTCTGGATAACAGAGCATCTGCCCGAGTTCAGTAGATATAAATCTCACCAGCAGTTTCTGTCCTTTTTCGGGCTGAAAAACAATAAAGTTGGCCTCGATGTCCATGTGGATGTAGCCGCTGTCGTCGTAGATGTTTCCATGCTGACCCACTATACTGATGTTTTCATAAGCGAGGGGTACTCCCTTTAGACTGAAAAGGTCAAACAGGCCAAGGTGAATTAGTTTGATACAGAACAATACGATATATATATATATATATATATA